TGAGGTGAAAGATGGTAGTCGCTTCAACCGGACGACGACAGGGATTTAGAGAAAAGTGGACACATTTGAAGTCTGCGTCGGAAGCAGCATTGACGGGCCCGTGCGCGTGTAGGCAGACGGGGGGTGAGAAGGGTGGGGTGTCGAGTAGGACCCACGACGCTCCTTTTCCAGCAGCTGGACGAGTGGAAGTGCCCGGCACGGCACTGAGCTCGAGGTGGAGACAAGAACAGTTTGTCCTAATTTTAAGGCGCCTCCCAAAGGAAAACAGTCGTAGATGATGCCGCGTTAGGGTTTCATAGGCCCTGTAAGCATGCAAAGAAACAGTGTAACGATGCCCTCCGTAGGTGAGTACATCGTATGCTTTTCATTTAATGAATGTGAAAGTTACTGTTTTAATCCTCAAATAGAGGCTTGTTAGAAAATTATTATATTAGGAGGGAAGTATTAATTTTGTTTCTTAAAACTGAACGTTAGAAAGGTTAAAGTATAGAGACTTAATATCTAATTCATATGATAACCATACATGTTTCATGGGAGAATGAAAGGTTTTAACTTCATAACTTTGTTTTAAAGCAGATGATTACTTGACACTTTAACTTTTCTAAATGTTTGTCATTTCTAGAGAACAGTTTAGTTGTGTAAAAGGAGATATCTGAAAACATGAGGGGTGTTTTAGATGGTGTAGGTTATCTAAATGTTATTTTGAAACACTTATTTTTATCTTCTCTCCTGTATCCTGATGTTTCCCTTTGTGATCTCAAGAAGTAAAATTAAAATGTCTGGGTATAGCAGTTAATTTACTTTTACTGCAAAGATGCATCTAGAAGTCAAGTAAGGGGAAAAGCTATCACTTCTCTGAAAACTCAGCCCCCTGTGTGCTCTTCCTTCCTGACCTCTCTCCCTTGGCATCAGTAAGTAGTTCATTACTCAGACTGTGCACGTGGCTTGCACTCTGTAACTTGCACCTGTGTGCTGTGTTTACCCGTGTAATTCCCTCTTTTTGTTCATGGTCACTTTGTAGCTAAGAGGGTAAAAGTGGAGAATTAGTTGTAATATTCATGCTGCAGTGAACTCCACCTCTGCTAAAATCCAGGTTATAATTCCTCCCCTGGATGGCTGCTTAGAGGTCAGAATTCTCGTTGTATGAAAGGAGTTTAAACATTTGATAAGAGCAATGAAATGATGTTTGTCTCTGAAGTTTCTTTTCACTGTTCAACATTTTTTTGGGGGAGGGGTCTAGCTTAATACCTAGTTAGACTAAAAAATTATTTACAGAGTAAAAACGGTCTAAAAACAATAAAATGTCATTTCTGAAGTAATCTTTAGCCATTGAAGGTTGACGCTAGCTTACTTTCTTAAAAAGGGAGAACAATTGATATATTTTGAGTATTAATAGAACTGTGTGATAAAAGCCACATGACTAAGGTTCCAAATGCTTTTCTGAATTAAGAGTCGTGTGTGAGTATGAGCCTTAGGGTTTCATGGGAAGATGCACGTTATATTATGACTAAACTTAGGAAATTAAGGCAGAAAATGATATTTCCCTGACCAGATATTGAAAAAGTGCAGAAGAGACACCATCCTTTTTATAGATAAAAACTGCTAAAAGCTAATTAGCACTGCAAAGGGCAGTGGTAACTGGTGATAATTTACTCTGGTGATATAAAGGCCAGGAGAACAGCAAGGTTGATACAATTATTTTAGATTAGATTAATATCCTTATATCTAAAACTGATTTTTAAAAATAATTTTTGCAGACTATTTTTGAGCATTCAGCTGTGCCTATAGAAACACTTAGCTGTCCTTACGGTCTCTGAAGAACGGGAACAACCTGAGATCCATTGACAGTCAAAGCTCACTGGAGTAGATCAAGGGAAAACTTTTTTTTTATGTAGTTTGTAAAAGTTGAAGTAATGTAGAAAGAGGCAAAGGAAAAATGTAACTATATTTCTTGTTAGGCAATTTGTAGCCTCACATATCTGTACGAAATTAGATAGTATAGTCATGTAGAATAGCATTGTCCATAATAATAATGTGAGCCACATACATAATTTTAAGTTTTCTATAGCCACATTAAATGGTAAAAAGAAATAGGTAAAATTAATTTTAAAGATATATTTGATTTAACCCTATATTCAAAATATTATTGCTTGAAAATGTAATTGATATAAAAATTATTCGTGAGTTTTTTTTGTACTAAGTCTTCTCAATACAATGTCTGTTTTACACACTCATAGAAAATTTAATTTGGATGGGTTACATTTTAAGTGCTTGTGTGGCTAATGGCTGTCTATTGGTCAGCACAGTTTTAGAACAAGTATTTTCTTCTTCTTTCCTGTTTGCTACACGAACGTAGGGAGCTCAGGAGTTACCGCTGGCTGACTGATGTGGGGAGTGAAGGCTGCGTTAGGAGGGCTTGCGGCGGTGGGATCGACAGGGCTGCATAACTCCAGCGGCAGCTGCTCAGTCAAGGACTTAGTGTGGTGAAGGCTAAGGACGGTCTGACTTCATTCCATTCTCTGAGCACGTGTTGTGATTGTCCTAAGAATATTGTGTCCTTGATTTGTGGAGAACTGAATGGTCAATTTCACGTTTTATAAAAAATACACTTTCAGGAAGTTTCTTTTGCAAAGATAGAAGGCATGCCAATTTTTATTTTCTAAAGTAAATTTTTCTTAACCAACCATTTACTTTTTATAATACTTTAAAAGACTAAAATCATATTCCATCGTAATCCTTGTGGGGGGGCAGTAACTAAATATGTTAATATTCATTCCTATTAGTTTTTTTTTTAAAGGCATTTGAAACTTAAAATTACAGATTTCAGAATAAAGGGCATTAATTCAGAAGTTTTTTTTGTATTTATTATTGTTTGAATATGTGGGTTACCTAAAAAAATGTGCATTTATTTTAATAATAAAAATTCCCTCTTAAATGAATCCTGGTTTATGCACTTTGTGCGCTAAATGAATTAGGTTCTAAACTTTTATCCGAATCTATGGAGCTTGGATATAAATTGAAAAGATCACAGCTATGGGGAGAAGACCTATACTGCAAAGGCCTTTCTGCATAGATTATGAACATCATAACTCAATAATTTTTTCAAAACTATGGTTATAATTGGACCCAATGGGGGTCTGTTTCTTTGATCAGATCACAGTAACTGTGACTTTACACTGGAAAATGTCACCACTGTGGAGGTTTATCACCTGTAGAGCTGGTCTTTCTCTGACGCTGTGTTCATTTCTCATTAGCATTATTCAAAGTTTAGTTGTTAATTAGGTTGACACTTCAATTACAGTCATTATCATCTATAAGAGTAGTCAGGACTACTTGCATAAAGAAATAAAACTATTCCTTCTCACGCATGTGTGTGTGTATATATATATATATATAGAGAGAGAGAGAGAGAGAGAGAGAGAGAGAGAGAGATATGGAGAAATGACATTATCTTGTTACCCGCTGGTTTCATAAGGATAAGAATACGGTTGAGGGAGCAATTCAATCAGAATTTGTCTCATCACTTTTTTTCCCCTTAAAAAAATAATTATTACGCAATTTCACGTTTCCGTTTTCAGCATTGATGAGGAATATGTGAGAATCGATATTTTTAAGTGTACAGACTATAGTTTTCTGTTTTGTGTCAAAGGAGTTGGTGAAATGAGCTGAATGTGTAGGAACATTTTATATCTCCTCCCCCTTAAAAAATAAGAGTTTGCATCAGGAGTAGGATCTCACTTAAAAATCTAAGTCAGGGCTATTCATAAATAATATTGCCGTCCCCAATCCCCGGACCAGGCACGGGTACTGGTCTGCCTCCTGTTAGGGGCCAGGCCGCAGAGCTCGGAGAATGTGCCCCCAACTACCACCCCCCCAAAAAAAATTGTCTCCCATGAACCTCAGGAACTGGGTGGGGGGCGCAGCAGGAGGTGAGCAGGTGAGCGCCAGGCAATCCGACCGTATTTGTTTACAGCTGCTCCCCATCCCTGTAATCACCAGTACTCACCCGTGAGCCTGCCCTGCCCTCCTCCGCCCCATCCGCGGAAAAATCGTCTTCTGTGAAACCGGTCTCTGGTGCCAAAAAGGTTGGGGACCGCTGCTCTGAGACATAACACTTGAAATTAAAAGATGGAAAATGTATAAAAAATTATAACATCTAAGTGTCTTTTACATTATACAAATTCTTAGATAAGTTTTTCTGTGATTTAAAAACATGAGTGTTTTAATGATTACTGGTTCATGACGCAATGACATTGAACTGAAACCCAGCGTGCGGTAGTAGAAAAAACAGGACAGAGCTGCGTTTAAATCACAGCTTTGTCAATTTTTAGCCACATCGTAAGGGCAAATTAATTCACATCTTTGTGCCCTGTTTTTTCATTCATAAATGGGAATAGGAATGCTTTCCTTAGAAGACTGTCGTGAAAATTAAATGAGACAATGTGTAACATTTGCGTACAGTTCTCCACTCATGATCCCAATAACTTTATCTCCTCTCCCCCTTTTTATCTAATAATGACAAAAACTATTCAACAAATGACTGGAAAATTACATATGCAAATGAGGCTTCCAAAAATAAAACTAAATAGTAAGTGATCCTGAAGGACCATATCAAATCACCTTACATAGCAAAAATGAACGACACCCAGCCAGCTTCATCTCAAAACAAGTAGGCACATGTTGTAATTGCTAAAAGTCCGCAGAAAAGTGGCTCACAAGCAGTTTACTGTAAAATAATTAAAGCTTATTTATGTCAAGAGGCCTTGGGAGGAAAAAAAGAGCGCATAAACCAATGTGCATTAGCACTTTACCGTCCTCTCCTGCTTTCCTTTCAATTAACAGACCAGCAGGTGCTCTCTGCAGTTAAAAAGATAAGCTATGGGGAGGAGGATGAATTTTTGGCTGACCTGCAGACACTGTGGTTTGCCTGCTGATTGGGTTCGTACCTCGCTGTACCAATTTCTGAGGTGTTAATTTAACTGTTCCTCTCTGTCATGCAGGTCTCGGCCTTGAAAAATAAACTGAAGAAGCAGTCCACAGCTACGGGCGATGGAGTAGCTAGGGCCTTTCTTAGGGCGCAGGCTGCTTTGTTTGGATCCTACAGAGATGCATTGAGATACAAACCTGTAAGCTTTTTCTTTCATCACTATTTTCATTTTCTTTTTTTATGGTTCTTTGGAATAAGGCAGAAAAAAGAGAGACATCGTTTTAATATCACACCTTAAAAAAAGTATCATGATGGTCTTTTAAAATCCAAAATAATATGCTTCAAAACACATTCATATCTAGTTTCTTGACTTTTCGTTTTTAGTTTTCAGTAATCTTTAGTTAATACTTCCCACATTCCTTTGTGTGTCATCTTATTAATGTTCCAAAAATGGAATATTTATCTCTTAACTAATGAATGAATTGTCTTAATGTATTTTAAAACTTTCCTGATCTTGTTAAGATAATTAAGAAATGCACTGGACAATTGGATTTATTAGATTAGTGAATTTTGGAATGACAAGTACAAAGTAAAAAAATTACACGTTGAACATTTAACGGTATTTGGAAGTTCTCTTCCTGATTCATAACAGTTTTCTAAAGTAGGCTTATCTATTTATAATAGCATATCTTAGCTCATTTTCCCATTTTTTTTGTTTATTAAACTAAAAATGGTTATCGTGTAGAATTACAGCCAAGTTATTAGGTGGTCCGAAAAGGTATAAGTCAAAATATATTTGCTTCTCTCTCTGAATTGTTGGTTCAAGTATGTTAGGCTGATTTTATAAAAATTATTGCACTGCTCTTCCATGACCAGGTGAGTAAGTTGTAAGAGATAAAAACACTGAATTAGTAATAAGAACTGCCATCCAATAGGAATTCAGTTACTGAGCTGTGTAACCTTGACCCACTTCCTTTGTCTCTCTGGACTTTGATCTTCTTATTTGTAGAATAAGGTATAAGAATTCTTATACCTTCCCTATCTGTCTTGCAGGGTTGGTGTGCAAACCTTACTGTAAATTATGAAGCGTTAAACAAACGTGAATGGGTTATATGCTTTCTAAACTGACTTCTGAATTAGTGATTCCCGCCCACTGGTTCTTACACCTCTGAAGGGTTATTGAGTTATGGGAAGGCATCCTTAAATGCATGGGCAGATCAGCTGCTGTTTCTAGATAAGAACATATATCTAGTTTACATGTTAGTCTTTTTGAACTATGTGTGTATTTTTAAAGCATTATAGAATTCATAGTATTGCACATAGTATATGTATCTCACATGGGAGAGTCTTAAAAAATTGTTGATAGTTATAAGGGTCTCTTTCTATAAATGACCGGAAACCAATCATCCACACCACAGTAGAGCATGTTGATACTCAAATTATTCAATATTAATTAAAACATAAAAATGAGTTTGAAAAACAAAATTAGTGACTAATTTTAGTTAAGTCATATTTTTAAAATAAGAATTGATTTCAAGTTTACACTACAGCAGGGAAAGTTAAAAATATCACTTTGCTTGAATTTTGACTTATTTAAATACTTATCTATAGAAACTAATTTTTTTCTTTTCATTTTCCTTTAAAAATCTGTAAAAGACTTCAGATTTGAAGGAAGGAGCAAATCAAAGAGAGGATTTTCTTAAATAATTTAAAATTATCAGTGTTAGGTACTGGGTAAAATTATTAAAATATCTTTAACATGAATTACTATAGATTTTACAGTTTAATTTTCTCTTCCTTTGAGCTTCATTGAGCAGATAGGGGTAGAAAATTTCAATGACTTTAGTTTAAAAAAACAAACAAACAAAAAAAAACCTTGAAAGCCAGATTCCCAGTATCTATGAAAAATTTTGTCATAGAATATCTTTCCTGTTTATTGATCACACCTTATTATAAATTTATTTGCTTATTTATCTACATTTTCTCTTTTTATATTTGATGTTTTCTCCTTTTCTACTTCTAGTTCTAGGATAATATTTTCATTTTATGTGCCTTTATATTTCTTCTGACTGAACTTTGAATGAAAACTTCCTTTTTAAAGTATACTGAATGCATTTAGATGATTTTTTCTATGTATTTTCACAAAAAATAGTTTTTAAGGAAAATGATTTATTGTATATAAAATATGGTTTTTTTCATCTGTGATCTTTACAAATGACCCCGTAACATAGTTTATTAAAAGTATATTTATTTTTTTAATTTAGAACTCTTTTTGGTCATTTATATAACAGGCCTATGTCTTTGGTATGTTTTTTGATTGACGTAAAAAAAGGACTAAGTGTAGAAGTTGCGATTATTTCATGGTTTTGTCTTTTTTCAAAAATATGTTTCGGTAGTATTTTCTGGTTATTATAGTATCATTAGAAAGGGAAAAATTTCTAAATAGTTTTAAGTGGATCTGAAATCTCTCACTAGATGTTACTTTTTAAAGTTTTGTGATTGTTTATGTACATAAAAAATGAAGCATTATTTCCCTTACATTTGACAAAGTTAAAGCTGTCGGTTAGGCTGAGACTCACCAGATCTCAGGAGCCACCTCTTCACCTGGCAGTCGAGGCCCTTACTGTGGGCAGGTTGTCTGTCTGTCTGTCTTTTCTCCTAAACTTTGACCTCATTTCAGAGGATTCTGCCTGAGACTCCAAATGTCCCAAGCTTCTCAGGCTTCCACACCTTTATTTATAATCTTTCTTCCTGGCTTTTAATAGCCATCTAGTTCCTTTCCTATTCTTGAAGCTGTAGTTTGTACTGACCCTCTCTTTCTGTGAATTAATTACACTTAACACATTTCTTTTCCCTTTTTCATATACTGTATTTTAAAGATGAAGAAAATGATACTCAAAGAATTTAAATAACCCCATCGATTTGCCCCAGTAAGTGAGTATCGAGGCTTGGATTTGAGTCTGTTTTTTCCACAGTCTTTCTCTGGCCCCACTGAGGCGTGTTTCTGCTCTGTCTTGTGTCTGTTACCATGTCATTCACTCCTTAAGACAAGTTTCCTGAATGTGCATTTCTTCAAAATGAAGATACCTGTAAGGCATTCAGTATTCACTTACGGAAAGACTGAGTTGAATTGAATACAAAGTCTTAGGAATTTTCTCAAAGGGAACAGGTGGGATAGGCATCTCATAGTGGGTGTGTAAATTGGGGAAATGATTTGATACTCATGCTGTGTATTTCCATTTGTGGTTTTGTTTGGCTGGGGTAACTGCCACTGCTCAGCTTCATCCTTTTCCTTCCAGCCTTCTAATTCTTCTGTTCCCTCCTTTGTCTCAGTACACCAAACAGCAGGACTGAATATATTGTACTGAAAGGAAGTTTGGATTCGTCTGGTTTTCTCCATAGCAAATCATCTAAAGTAGAAGTCAATGGCAAGACACTTCATTGTATAAGAATATACTTCTTATTCTGTTTATTAAGATGCATTAAGGATATAATTTATACATTTAACAAATGTATGTTTAGCACTGCCATAATAGAACTTGTCTGAGGCTTCTAGACAGAAGAATAAATAACGTTAAGCCTGTGCCTTCCAGGAGCTTATAGTGATGTAGGCCGATGTAGTTATTTATTCTGTAGCAATAGTAAAGAAAATGAGGGCAGAAAATGATAAAAGAGAATTATGCTTTTAAATCTGTGAGAAACAGAAGAAAACTGGGAGATACCAATTTAGTACGTGTGTTTTTCTGGGGAGATCATCCGTATCTTTTACCATGTTTTTGAAAAAGAAAAGGACCAAAACAGGTTAAGATTCATTCCCATAGAAGTCGGCAGAACCAGTTGGTCTCTCTGTAACAGTCGGGAGAGTTTTAAATTTATCGTAGAGTTAACGCACAACCTTTAGAGTTATTTACCATCAGAACGACGTGCTCGGCATTGTGTGTTAGGAAGATCACTTTGACAAGGGTGTTCTTCTTAGGTTAAAGTGGAGCAAGCCCAGAGACAGGGAAGCAAGTGGGGCTATTATTGATGGTCTTACTGAAGAGGGAGGAAGAAAGGCCCCTCCTGAGTAGCTTCTAAGGCCCAATTCTGGAGGACCGTAGGGAGGAAGACCTAGTTTTGGGGAGCACGTTGGCTATGGCTCCTTCAGGCTGATTTGCACATTCCTGTGTAAATACTGAATGTGTGCTAAATACTGCGCAGGAGTAAATTATTGCATAAATCACTTAGAATGCCTGAGTGGCAACTTTAAATATGTTGTTACTCTCTAAATGACACAATGGTATGATTGACAAATAAGTGGTACCCGCTCTTCATTATAGAGAAAAAACTCCTAAAGTTGTTGGAAAGAGATTTAAATAAAATAATGGATATTTTGCTTTTTTTAAATTTTAGCCAGCAGCAAGTTAGCTACTTTTTAGGAATTGAGAAATGTGAGATAAAACTAATGTGCTAAATGAACTGAAGGAAGATGGTAAGACTGCGAAAACAGATTGCCTGGGTTCGTCCTCATTCTGTGACTGACTAGTTGTTTGACTTTGGGCAAGTTAACCTCTCACTGCTTTAGTTTTCTCATTTGTAAAAAAAAAAAAAAAAATAATGATACTTCTTGGGTTGGCATATAGTAAATGCTGTATATGTTAGCTGTTATTAAGAATGAAATTTTAAAAGTAGTGGATTTGGTAAAGAGATTTCCATCAGTATGACTAAGAAAAAGCTCCCTCCTTTGATCTCAGAAAAGGAAAACTTTGTCATAAACATGGTAATACTTGTAAATGATTGCATTAAGTAACTAATAAAGAGTCTTTGTGTCAGTTGGGTTACATGCTACTAAAAATGAAAGTCAAGCAGCTAATGCCAGAGCAGTGTTTGCTCAGTCAAAGCGTTCGTGGAGTGTGCAGAGGCACGCTCGGTTACCCTGTCGGAGAGCAGGGAGGCGACACTCAGGTCCTTCTTTGAATATGCAGGCGCCGCCACCATTGTCACTCGCGCTTTCCTGGGCTGCCCTGAGCCTTGCTAATGGGTGAAAAGTAAATTACTGTAAAAGGGAAGATTGCTTAATAATCTGGGCCTCAGTTTAACAAGTTGGAAGAGCTGTCGTTCAGACATTTTTGGGATTATGTCTCTTTAAAACCTTATCAGCAAGTAATGTTGTATTCAGTGATTAAGTTTAAGCAATTTAAACAGAGGATTGTCGTCCAT